CACCACAACCAGTGCTTACTGTTCCTTATTCATCAGTGACCCCATATCTCCTTCTGAAATTTTTGTCTTCATCACAATGGTAATAACGAGTTGAGCAAGGTTAGATATTGACGTTTTGAAATCTTCTTCAACCAATGTTAATTCTGCTCAAAATATTTGGCTGGCAAATTGAACCGTGTATTAACTTCCGGGCCGATGTAGACGTAAGTGTTATCCAAGTGAACGTGATCTATATGTAATCTCGCAGCGCCCATACGGACCATATGTAATCAGTGCATTTGAATGTCACTATACGGGTATGATGATGTTCAAATGCACTTTTTACATAATTTTTGAACTCCGACGGACGCTGTTTACGACGAGAACGGTATTCAGAAGCTGTAAATAATTAGGTGTTTTTCACCGATCTTCGTACCATCTTCCAATTCAACATGAGAAATCTTGTGTCGTGACAAGCCCGAAAAACCTACGCCTCATGCTCATTATTGTCAGGACTAGAGTGGGAGCAACCGATGTGCTTGTGAAACAGCCTATATTCTCTTTGTCAATGGTTTCTGCATTAATTACATAAATATTCCACAGTGTCGATTGCTTTTCGTAGCCAAAACACAAGCTGTAATACAAGGAGTTTATGCTTATGTGGAGAAGTTTGTCTAAACTTATGCTTATTAGTTTATGCTCATATGTTTATCTGCTAAACTCACAATTTTTTGAATATCTTGTAACTAGCTTGTCTTTTTAACGAAGTTCCTTTTAACACGTTTTGTAGATGGACTCTGTGGATAAAGCGACCGAAGACCGGATCGTGTTGCAGCTCCTTCGTGATGCGTTCTACCATTATCTGTTAAACAGAGGTGACTCCAGGGAACATTTACAGGTTATTTTTATTATAGATTTCTAACTTTGTGACGTTTAAATCTGCTTTAAAAAGATCCCTGTACATTTTTGGCAATGTGATTTAGAAAGCAATGATGTCAAGGCATTATTCAGTAACTATTCCTTCCAATGTAGTCCAATTCCCGAATTATTTTGTCTCCTGAGAACAGTTTTTTACCTCCTGCTTCCCTGACTGCACTTGTAATACGCCGCATCTGCTACTATTTGACAGGTAAAGTGATTCGTACTAATTAAACCGAAATCCTAAGTCTGACCAGTCGAATGTATCACTAGCACCGAGCAGTCTCATTAGTAGTTACGTTGCCAAAAAATGAAGTTTGTAAGCCTTCTTTGCATCTAAAAAATTTGAATTCTTTTCAGGCCATAATGGCGATGCTAAATTTTTCGCAACAGCAGAAAGAAGAAGTTTCTGGTAAACGCGGGTGCTCGCACTAAGCTGAATCTGTGATAGAATGTGGATGTCTCGCTTGATACTCACCTTCAATCTTCCTTACTGTTGCCTGTGTATCAGGAGCGTAGGTGTTCGCACTATCTGGGATGTGTGACAGAACACCAAATGCCCCACTTCATGCTCACCTTCTACCATCATTACTGTTGCCTCTGTGTCTCGAACTCGGGTGCTTGTACTAAGTAGGAAGTGTGATAGAGCGCCAGTGCCTCACTCGATGCTCACCCCGCATCTTCTTCACCATTGCCTCTCTGTCATGAAAGCCGAGTGCCGAGCGCTCGCACCCACTAGGATGTGTGATTGAACGTCGATGTCTCGCTTCGCCCTTGTCCCTTACTGTTGTCTCTGAACTTCCACATGTACCCATGCCTCCTCATACCACCACCTAGAGTTGTTCCTGTCTCATTTGTGTGTTGTTTCCACTGAGACTGCAGTTTTTATATTGTTTTAGAAGATTCTTATTATGCGTTTTGTACTATGTAAAAGCTGCAAAAAACAGTGATTGTTATACCCTTTTCTTTGTGTGTGTGCTTGTGCACATGTCGAAGTATATTTTTCTTCACTCTTCAAGTAGAGGAGTAGAAGCTAGGAAGCTAAAATTTTACGTGAATGTTTCCTGCCCCAGTGTGTCCTCGTAGGACCAAACCTAGCTGTACTGAACAGGGGATCTGTTAAAGAAAATAATGCAGTGTAGTATTCGCTGGAGTCGCGCGGGATTAGAACCGGTCGAAACGAGCTGGATTTTAATAATTGAATATTGGAAATAAGAATGCGCCTAAACATCTTGTTCGTGTCTTAAAAAGAGCCATAAAAATATATGATAAAGATCCGGACAAGACTGTGAGGCAAAAAGATCCGAACAAGATTGTGAGGCATAAAAATCCTCATTGGCCCGAAACCATATCGAGGCAGTTTTGCTACCAATCATAAGTAGCTGACTTTTGCATTTACAGCCGAGGCTGTCGACAATTTTCAACTTTAATGCTATTTTTCCACCGAATTTAACGGTTTATTGACTCGATACAGCCCCTGAAAAATGAATGCCTTAGAACATAACAGATCCTATGTTTTAACAGTTGATTGATTCGATACTGTCTCTGAAACGTGAATGTCTTAGAACATGAGAGATCCTGTGTCGGGATCCGTCCTATTTATCTCGAAATGTGAGCACTGCATGACTGTTAAGGAAAGGTAACTAAATTTAAGCTACCTTTCAAACTGACTTTTAAACTTGTTACATGTTCTGTGTAAGAATTCCTGTTGCAAATTTTTATGTCGTAAGCCCGTTGGAACTGTTGATGGATTAGAGGAGGGTTTTGGAGAGACAGAATTTTTTAAGATTTTGCATACAGTACAGAGCATATGAGATGCCGTTCCCAGGTACTTTTTAGTTAGCTCAGATGTTACTACTCCATGCATCTTGAGAAATAACTCTATTCAAGGAATCCTTCATATTGGCTTGTACACTTGTTTAAGTGTCCTCATAAAGAACAGATTATACAAATGCTTATGCTGCAGAATGACCGGGAACTATCAATAGCTGGTTTGTAGCGAATAGGGCTTTTTGCCGTGAAAAAGTGATAGGGAAGAGCAGAATTCTTCTTCATTGCCATGAATACGTGGGAGAGTACGTCATGTGCTATCTGCTCAATTCTTCCCAAATAGATCGTAACTTTACGATACCTGTCAGGGAGGAATGCATGTGTGCGTTGTACTGCTGTCTGCACTTCTTTCTTCGAACTCCTGACTAGCATTATTCCTCTTCCCCTCCTGTATCCCTTCCCCACCCCCTGCCTCCGGAGCCACATCAGGTCACCTACCATCTTCAACCGCTGTCACCGTTTATCGTCCTGAACTTCTAACCAGCAACTTCATTCCTCCCCAATATCCTGGTCTCAATCGTACCCTGTGAGCTGTATCTGGACAACCACCAACCAACACCTCCCAGCCACGTCCAACCTCCTCCCCCCCCGCCCACTCATCACCCTCCGGCCACGCATTCTAGCCGCCAGACACTGGGCAGCGCTACCGACCGCATCGGGCATCTGGCAAAGTGCCAGAGGCAGCATCGCGAAATGGTGCTGGCGGAGATGTCAGGACAAAGCGCTGGAAAGTCCAAACACCAGAGATCATCAGCCGAGGCGAGTTATTGTAATTGCCCTCAGGCTGAGTCGGTCCGAGTTTTTATGCGTTTTTTGCAGCTATGCAATGCAGAAAACGCATACTGACGAGGGGTTGTATGTGTGTGTGTGTCTCATCTGTACCGATTTTTCATCTCGAGACTTATAAAAGCTACGAGGTTCAAG